ACAGAAGTAGGAAAACACCATTATTTGCCGCGGTCCACGGGGGGAAGGGAAATGGGACCGGGCACTGCAATAAGGGTTCTAACACAGTTGAGGTCTCGTGCAGCAATGCCGTTTATTTGGGGGAAACAAGGGTTTAAATAACGTAGGTTTGAGGGGTGGATTCTAACCTGGGGAGGCGCAAGAGATTGACAACTCAGGGAAAAACGTGATAGGGGGATAGGGGAAAGGTGGGCGGAACTCCCGGGTATCCGAGGGATTGGGCCAATAGTAGCTCTCTCTGCATGGTGGCAGGTTGTGACCAATGAGCAGCAGAGGAGCGGGAAAACTGGGGAGACAGGGTGACAAACAACTTTTGGAGGGAAAATCTGAGGGAGAAAGGGAGACAATATGGAGGTAGGACAGAATTCATAACATTTAACAATAAACTGAGGTGCATAAGAATTCATAAACACACAACAATAGACTGGAGAAAAACTGTCAGTCTGGTGGGTAAATTATCAAGTAACAGGTCCCTTTAGATCCCATTTATGCTTTTCCAGGCAACATATCTTTCCCAGTCTGTCTTCTTATCCAGCACAATTATTAATGCTGTCCATGCCTCAGACAAAGATAGCCTTTGTTTTTGTCCACTAAATGAGACGTTTATATTCATTGTTTTGGAGAAACTAAAATTGGAAAACTGAAGGTAAATATTTCTCTCAATCCTTTAGCATATTTAAGTCTTCAGGGTTCAAATTAGGCAGTGGTGGTGGTGGTATGTAGTTAGTCAGCATTATGTAAGGCATCAAAATATTATGGTGGTGTTTCTTTTGGCTGAAGATTTACATGTTTTCCCAGATTTTCCCTCTCGCTCTTTACTCCATCTACACATGTTACAATTCATAGAGTCATAGATTAGTTTGGGTTGGAAAAGGCCTTTAAATACCATCTAGTTCATCCTCCCTGCAATGAGCAGGGACATCTTCAACTAGATGAGGTTGCTCAGAGCTACATCCAACCTAACCTTGAATATTTCCAAGGCATCTAACATCTCTCTGGACAACTTCTTCCAGTGTTTCACCTTCCTCACTGTAAAAAATTTCTTCCTTATTTGGAATTTGAAGGAATTTGAAGGAATTTGCCCTCTTTAGGTTCAAAACCATTAACCTTTGTCCTTTTGCAACAGGCCCTACTAAAAAGTCTGTCCCCATCTTTCTTATAAACCAACTCTAAGTACTAGAAGGCTGTAATAAGGTCTCCTCAGAGCCTTCTCTTCTCCAAGCTAAACAGCCCCAACTCTCTCAGCCTTTCTTTATAGGAACATATTTCATCCCTCTAACCATTTTTGTGTCCCTCCTCTGGACCCTTTCTAACAGGTCCATCCAGCTGAGGACCCCAGAGCTGGATGTAGTATATCAGGTAGGGTCTTAGAGTGGAGCAGAGTCATCTCTCTCAACCTGCTGGCCATGGTCCCTTTTTATGCAGCCCAGGATGTATTTGACACCACTCAGATTGGTGTTGTCTGCAAACTTGCTGAGAGAGCACTTGATCCCACTGTGAATGTTTGTGGCATTGATATTAAACACCACTGTTCCCTCCTCTGAGGGTCACCCCTCACCAAAATCTCCACACCACAGTCAATCTGGACATCGAAGCACATTATCATTTACCAGCTCCTGACTTCAGTGAGAGTTGTTTTGTTGGCTAAGAATTCTTACATCTCATTTCCAGGTACCTAGCTGTCACTTTTGCCATCTTGAAATACCAAGTCAAATCTACCTCCTTTTTGTTGCATGAAGTTTGCAGCTTCCACATGAAGTATACTCATTGCCAACTCTGCAGCTACGTGGTACTCATGTAGCCCTAGCTGAACTGAGCGTCCATCATACTGTTGACCCACCTGAGCCACCAGTGCTGTTCCTCAGGGCACAACTCCTGCTACAGCATCAGTGCTACTCCACTGCTCCATGGCCTCCTTCAAGTCCATCTGCTCTGCATTTCTGGCTGTGTCCAGACCAACAGCCACAGCTCTCATTCTTGTCCATACCCTAAATTCTGCCATCCCCAAATCCTGCTGCCCTGTGTCCCAGTCCACTAATCCTGCTCTCTACCCTTCCTCACCAGTCCTGTCTTTACCTCAATCTTATTTCCATCTGTATCTGACTACTGCAGCTTCACCTCTCTTTCTTCCAAGGCTCCTTAATGCTCTCCAAGGAAGGCTGAAAGTCTCAGCAGGCTTATCTCTTCCTCTTAGGCCAGCATCCTTTCATTCTCTCTCAGGAATGATGTGCCAAAGCTCCCTGAGCAGCTTAGTTTTTTCCTCCCAAACTCATCCTATCCTGGACTTCTTACAGAAAAGCCACAATAAACTGCTGAAACCTGAAAAAAAGGATGGCATTCTCACAGGATAAGCTCTGGCTTCTACTGAAAAACCCTGGTGAATGCTACTTACTGCGCAAGAAGTGTACCGGCAACATTCATGAAATGCATTATGAAGGAGTCTGCATCTAGTAGCATAGGTTCTGACAGAACTCTTCCAGGCGATACAGGATTTAAAGAAAGGTCTTAAATGGGACTGACACAAAGCAATATAGTAATTATTTGGCAGTGCATAATATCTTTATTTAGAACAATAAAGTATATGTATATAATGTAAATTCCAAATTTGAACTGATATAAAAAAGGATGTGGGAAAACATCTATCTTCAAGAAGACACATATGTACACACATCACATTTTATAAACTTTGTTGATTACCTTCAGTCAGAATGTAACTATGCAAAACTGTGCTGACAGTTACATTTAAATAAATGAATTTGCCCATGATGCAACCAGCAAATGTCTGTGTCTCTGTCATTAAAGAGTCTGAAATTTCCATGTTCCATCAATTTGATAACATAATAGCAACATGTCACCATTACTGTAGATCTGCATTTAAGGCAGTTGAATCAGATTCCTGAATTGAAGAATGTTGGATAATTTTTAAATGTAAATCTAACCCAAAATATCAGTATTTTATATATGCAGTTAGATTTTCAATTTAGTAGTTGTATTGTGTGTACTGAACAGTTTCAGCATATTACAAGAGAGAGCAACAGAGAAAACAGAGCTGGTGAAGATGAGAACCCAAAAAAATGTGCAGGTTGTACACATACTCCATAGTCAAGCACATTTATAGTCAAGCACATTTTATAAGAAAGCTTATAAAATGACCTTGTGATGAAATAGGTACCATTAATTCATTCAAGTAAACACAAACCTAAACAGAGTTACTCAGCATATCACTATCCGTTTTTCTTTTCTCACAAGGCCCTTAATAACTGCATGCAAAAGTGAACTATTTCAAAGGAAACTTAAAAATGTAAAGTTTCTCACCGAACCACAGATATCCAAAAGCCAAATTTGGCTGACTTTTGTATAAAAAAACCACAACACCCATTTTCCCCCAATTTCATTTTAAGAGGAAGAGTGTTAATTTTCCAACTGTGTTAATGCATAGGCTCTGCCTACCCAAAAAGAAAACTGAAAAACTGATCACTGTCCAGAAGTTAAACAGCTTACAATGGAATACAGAGGGAACTAAAAGTCTATTTCTGCATCCCCGACTTCCACTGAACAGTAATTTTTCTATTTCCATTTATTTCAAAGATGTCTCACAAGTCAGTTGTCTTTCAAAATTTCACTATGTCCAAAGTAAAGATCTTCTCAGTGGACACAGAAAGTTTCCAATAAATTCACAATCCCATTTCCAATACCATGCTATCTACTGTATCTATAGAATGTCTAGAAGTGTCCTTCTGCTTTGCAAGAGGACTGAGAACACCTGATGTTATGTTCAGGTCTCTCAAAAGGGGTTGCAGAGAACGAGAAAACAATGAGGCCGAACAACAGCTCTGCTACTCCATGTGTCATACGACTTTGGTGCATATTCAAAGAACAAAGTTTGTGATGTGAAGGTGGAAAGTTTGTACATAAATTTTCTTTCTATTCTCATATAGCCTTAAATTTCCTTTGCTCCACAGAAAGATTAAAGCATCTGACATTATTTGAAAGTGATTTAGGTACCTTTTTGAGATATCGTTCTTGGAAGGTGAATATTTTGTCGAATCTGTGTTTAATGCATGTTTCAATTCATAGCTGATATTTTCTGTAGTATTGAATAGCAGACTAAGAAGCCTAAAATATTGCACATTCTGAATATCGAAGTATAATTTGGGGCACACCAATGTGCAACATCATTATGTATTTGATTTTCTGGGCAGAATGCATTTAGGAACAAGAACATTAATAAATACAAGATTCCTGTTTGACTGAATCTAAGAAAATTTTTTTTAAACTTCAAATGCATAAGTTTGCCTTAATATCATATTGCATGAAGTATTTAAGGTTTTTTTTACAATACATAAGGATAATTGCTTCTGGACACTTTTCCGTTCAGTCAAACCCAAAACACAGTTATTCTCTGCATCACCAATAAGGTGCAAATTTCCATCAAATAGGTCATACTGACATTTTTTTTAGGGTAACTTAAATAGGTTTGAAACTCAGAGTCTGAGGGCCTTGTGAGTAAAGAACGACACAATGTCAAAAGAAACTTAACCGCAGATGGGGAATTCTGTTATTTGAGGAATGCACTTGCTTTTTAGACGTGATGAACGATCTTGATCATTAATTGGCTGAGTTCTACAGGAGCATCTTTCTGAATAAACATGAAGCTTCTCACACTAAGCTTCTTTTGATCTTGTCTAAGAGAAGTTCCTCAGATGATGCAAAGTTCTGTTATACTTAATGGAATTATGTTAATTTATACCAGCTGAGTAGGACTTGAGGACCCTTTTCTGACATCCAGGAAGTGCAAAAAGGGCCCAAGTATAAATAAAAATTCCACATGATCAAATCCTTGCATCAGTGAATTCATGAGAAGTTTTAACAATGACCTCAGTAGAGTAAAAATTCCATGCAGAGTGGCTATATGCACACATCAGCTCTGTAATTAAACATGGTAAGGTTCTGAGGTTTTATTAATAAGTATGTAAGACAGTTTTACCAATAATACACACACACTCACACATGCACACACACACACGCACACATATGTATGTATTATATGTATGACATATTCTTTTTATGCGTGGTTCTCAGAAAATTCAGCAGAAGAAAAAAATTCCACAGAACTCTTAAAAACTTTAGTAACTATACATTTTAAAGAGAACTCCAACTTTATGCAAAATATTAAAAGGGATTTTTTTTTTTTTTTTAAGTTCTGAAGTGGCTTAAACTAATACTCTTGCTGACCTGGTCAATTTGATGACAGATGACAGTTTGTCATCTGAAGTGAGCTTTTACCCTTTACCTTTTGGGAGTAAACCCCCTTAATACCGATAAATAATCACAATCATTATCCAGAAAGAGCCAAGATGAAAAGATGCACAACTACACTTGTAACTTTTACCATGATATTTTTAGGATTTACTTGAAAATACATGTCTGTACATCAGTCCTGTACATATTCCATTGATGCTATAACAGCAACAGATGCAGAAGACAAGTGGGAAACAAAGCCTTTCTCTTTTGTTTCAAAAGAATTAACCTTCAAGAGTGGAGAATGCCAGGATATTAAAGCTTACTTATCACTTAAAACACAATGCAAACATTAATTATAGCTGATGTAAGTAAAAGCTAAATACACTCTCAGTATCTTTCAGATTTCCTACGCTAGACATTTAAAGACAAAGTATCAATGGCGTACATTATCAGAATTTAAAACACATTTCACAGATTTGTCTTTATTCTGATGTTTGAACGCAATTCAGACTCTTTACTTTCCCTTAGCATGGCTGGAAATTTCACCAGTGTTCACATCCCCAGCAGTTACTCTGAATGCTTCGAAGCTCTATGAGGTAAATTCACCTCCTGTTTACTTTGTCTTCATCCAGTATTTGCTTCTCCTGAACAGAGACCACCAACACTGATAAATTCTTGAGGCTTTCTAGGGTGGGCAACCAGCCACCTGGCACCCGACAGAGACCACATGTTGCTGTACACACGGCCTTTGCCAGGCATAAACACAGCTCCTTATAAGTAAAAGTCTAGAACTCTAGTTCATGGCATGAACTTACTTTCAAGTTTTATATACAATATTGAACAGTATGTTATCTGTATCCATTTCTGCATTTTCTGTCAGTTCAGAGATCTCCATCTGAAGACATCAATGTAAGGTAGAGGACACAAAATTTAAATTAAGGATGGAATGACTTGCAATGATTATACATAGTTGGAGGCATTTGAAAAATCCTTTTTGTTCAGGACATACTTTGTTTGCCAGAGTCAGATGAAAGTATTAATGCAATTAGAAATCCTCAAATGTCACACAAGGTAGATATTCATATAAGAGACAGTCCTGCTAAGTGCACACTCTTCTTGTAATTGTTCAATTCACTCTTGGTTTCACAGTAACAAACACAAATTGTCCTCATTTCTATATCATGTCTACGAAGTCATGGGCAGCAACAACAGATGCAGACTCAGTCTGTCACTCCAGAAGGAATACGAATGTGCTTAAAGCTGCTTCATTTATGAAGCGAACATGGAACTGTTACCTGCTTGAAGAGAAAAACAGAAACTGATTTTGCTGGTTAGTCTTCCTCCCTGTATAACTAAACAGTAGAGTTTTTCACAGACATATAACGGAGACATTTTTCCTTATAATTTTGGAACTAGATAAATTTAACGACACTTGTATAGACATTTCTTTACTCAGAAAGAAAAATGTTATAAGATATACTTTCCTGGTCAATAACATCCTTGCCTGCAAAAGCTCATTGAAGTCATCTAAGGTGATGAAACAACCCTCATGGTTTTATAGAAGTGTTGTTTGTGCATTTTGGTATCGGCAGTCTCTGGCAGCAAACTTCCCTTTGAAGTCATCTTGGACAAGTCAATACCAAACTGAGTTTACATGTTTGGAAAAATTGAATGACTTGTCCAATGCAATGACAATTTACCTTCTCACTGAGCAGGTGTTAGAACAAAACAGTTAAGGAGTCTGAAACTCACTGAAGTTGCAGCTAACGTGATCACATCAAACACCTGAGAGTAACCGCTACAGGACAAACTGCAAAACCTGGATTGCCTGTTTACTTTTACATTGCTCTTTCCACTTGTGATATAAAATGAACCATTCAGTGCTGCCTGAATCTTCCAGACTCTTTCATAGATGCCACGGGTTAAGTACACAGTTCCTGTGGTAAGAAGCCTCTTGCCAGAGAAGCACACCATTCTGCAGAGGACAGCTGTGACTGAGAAACCTCACTCGCCTTTGCTGTTCACTCTTGCATACTAAAGCGAGAATGATGCACCTGATGAGGTTACAGAGACTGCAAACTGTGCTGACCAAGCAACAATTAATAAAAGCTCAGCTCTGCTTGACCTGTTCTCCCGCGCTCACCAGCTACTTTTAGCAGATTGTGTTTTTAGTTCACTTTGCTTTCAAACTGCTGTAGGACAACAGCTGAAGGCTTCTCCATCAGCTCTTGAGCCAAAAAGGAATAGCAGTAGCTGTACTTCACTTTGGAATTCTTGCACATTTCATTTTGAAGCATTCAAGTTAAAAGTCAAGTGTCTAAAGTAATGGTACAGGATTAATTAAAGTAGTTGCTAAAGATCTTATGCACAAATCAAGCCTACTGATAGCAAGATGTACTTTTTTCCCCAAAATGGACTGCTGAATTGCAGAAGCTGAAAGTAATTAAGTCTATGGTAAGACTGTTACCAGAAAAACTTACCAGTACATGAAACAGTAACAGTGTTGAGGGAAAAAAAGCAACAGCTACACTTGTAGATGTTTCTTTTCTTTTTGCTGCAACATACTGGGAGAAAAAAAAGGTACTTTATTACTATAATACTAGGGTTTTAATTCCAATGGAATAGAAGGGTCTGTAAGTTAGTTGAAATAAAAGGGAACCCAAAGTATTATAATTTATGTTTGCTATTAGTTCTTCCTATTTGTAGATGAATATTCCTAATTTCTCAGGAAGGAGAAATTTCTACTACTCATCTGTGCCATATATGCCAACACATATGCCACATATTTAAGAAGACATCTGATGGAGAACACAATCTGTCTAAATTTCCTGCTAAGGCCCTCTCCTCCATTTAACTAATTTTTTCCTCTTTTCTTCATATAAAAAAATGTTTTATATTTCCTGTGAAGTTTAAAGGAAGATGTATGTTCCATTTCACAGGTTTTAATATCTGTGAGGATGAGGTGCAGAACGAGTTACTCGTAGCAACTAATATAATTGGTGAATATACAGTCTTTCATTCTACATACTGTACATGAAGTAAATTTGTTTTAAAGATTTATTATTTTAGCAAGCCTAAACACTGAAAATTTCAGCTCCTGTAACCAGACTGCTAGATCAGAACTTTGCCTATTTCTGCATTCAACAGCGGGCAGCACCGGACATTTCACACAGCGTGAGAGGACTACAGTATGTGTCCTTCTACCATCCGCATCAGATCTTTCCCTAAGTCCCTCATATTTAAAATCTGACAAAACGTCATGAAATATGAAGTTAAACAATACTCTCAAAATGCTATAGCATGAATATCCCTAAGTCCTTTTCTGAATTTCACAGAATTCTTTGCCCAAGTCATATCCAAGCAACTTCAAAATCTTTAATTGTTATTTCTAAGGTATATTTGATTGACTGAGTTACACAGAACTTCTTACTTTTAAAAGTCAGATAAAGCCATGTTTAAGTATGAGTTTAACTATGAACAGAGCCTTGAATCGTTTCAGGATGACCATAGGAAGTGATTAGGATTTTAATGAGTCCTCATTAACTTTCTAAAATCTGCCAAAGACCTTTTCTGCTCACAGTATCGAAAGCCTTGGTGAGGTCGACAAAGGTTACATAGAGACCTCTGTTCTGTTCCCTACACTTCTCTTGCAATTGTCTGAGAACAAATACCATGTCTGTGGTGCTCCTGTTGGCTCTGAAACCACACTGACTTTCAGATAGAATTCCTTCTGCTATAGCGGGTATTAGTCTGTTCAAGAGTATTCTTGCCAGGATTTTGCCAGCAATGGAGAGCAGAGTAATACCACGGTAATTTGAGCAGTCTGATTTAATACCTTTCTTCTTATAAAATGTGATGATGCATCATCATAATGCATCATGAAGGTCTGTCTACTCTTTTATATGGTTCCAAATCAGGGGTCATCTGCCGCCACCACCTGCGTCTCCTAGAACGCTTCCATCAACACTGCCTCTGTACAATCCTAAACATTCACTGGTCAGATTATGTGACCAATACATCTGTTCTAGAACAAGCAGCAGTCACAAGTATTGAGGCCATGTTGCTGAGAACACAGCTGCGCTGGGCAGGGCACATCTCAAGGATGAAGCACCACCGCCTCCCTAAGATCCTGCTTTATGGTGAACTTGCCACTGACTGCCGCATGAGAGGAGACCCAAAGAGAAGATACAAGGACTCCCTGAAACAACATCTCAGCCTCGGGCATATTGATCAACATAACTGGTCCACTCTGGCCTCCAATCGGGAGGTCTGGAGACACACCATCTATAACGCTGCTGATGCTTTTGAGAAAGCACGCAGGATCACCCTTGAGGAGAAAAGACAACACAGAAAGAATTGTGCCCTGCAGAATATACCATCTAAGGAGTCTTTCTGCTGTGCCTTTTGCAACTGGATGTGTCTATCTCGTATTGGCCTTTCTAGCCACCAACGTGCTTGCAACAAAAGGGGATAGAGCCCTTCCCAAATCTTTGTTCGCGAAGCCTAGCCATGATGATTAACTTTCTACAAGCACTAAAAACCCCCCCTGGAAAACATAATACCCTGGGGAATACAAAAAAGTAAAAGAACACAAAAAATGTTAATGTAAAGAGTATTTAAAAGGATTTAGGAACACAACCAGGAAGACACTGCTTTCTATTTATTTCCATAATATCAGCCTAGCTTTACACTGTAGTGTCAGCCTAGCTTTACACCGCACAGCAAATGACAACATTCATTTTATTTTGTTGCTTCCCCTATAGGTCTCAGCAATCCTTTCTCACAGTGGGAGTAAGAACAGACAAAGTAAAGGTGTCTTCTTTATAAAATTTTGTAAGCAGAAATATTCTCCATATCAATTTCTATATTTACACCAGAAGGTCCTTTAAAGGGCACACTCTAAGCACATATTTTACCTCTGCAGCAAGACCCCTTGTTTGCAGGTTTTTTTGTTTGTCATAGAGCTAGAGAGTAACAGGAAGTAGCTCTCAGAGACAAAATCACATTTTCAAATGTAAATATCAAGTGAAATGCTATACCTAATCTCATTTTCCTCTTGACAGTCATGACACTGCGTAGTTTCAACACTTTCTGGTCTGGATTCGGGATGTGTTTTCTAGGAGGAAAATGCATTAAATATAAATATTCTAAAGCTTTCTTTAGTAATTCCCTAAACAATTGCAGTATGTTTCAGTTTGCTTCATATTTTCAGTATCAAAGTCAGCTTGCACAATGCAGGTCAAATTTTGCCCTCTAACATACATCTGCTACTGATATAATTTTACTATTGAAGTCTTTGTATTGTAGAGGCAAAAGCAAAAAAAATCTATTCTCAATATACAATAGGAGAAATGAAGAATTAGGTGAATCCCACATTTTTAGTTTCCAATTAGACAGCAATCATGCTGATAAGACAGGATTTGCACTTTGACAGTGGAATTCAAGAATTTGACATCTGCATTTTATTTACATCTGCATTCCACAGTTCAGTGAAAATCAGAAGAGGTGTCTCTTGTTTTCAAATGCAGAATGGTTCTGTTCTTTCTACCTCCCCCTAGCTAAGAAATGTAGTATCACTAGGTAAACAATTAAATGTAGTATTTCTTACCTTCCAGTATATGGCTCCCAAAATAAAGCCAATAAGAAGAGACAGCAATGATGTCAATGCTATGCTGATCCCTTGCAGGCTGGAGCTACTAATGAAGCCAAGTGCTTCTTCTGTAATTAAAGATACTCTGTTAGTGAAGGCAGATTTATAGCAGAAAACTATCTTCAGGGCAACACTATTAGCAAGAGCACTTTCAAGCACCACCTACATAACAGCATCTTAAATAGCAGAACAGATACTTCAAAGTGCTATGTACATGAAGAGCACTTCATATAAAATCTTACAGGAAGTTTTTGGCCACAAAGATGTTTCACCCAATTCTGAAATAACCGTGTTGAAAAGTACCAATGCTAATTCTCTTTCTGTCACTTGTAGAGAATTATCTCTTTCCCACACTGCAAAGTTTTGGATTTATTAATTTTTGGAGGTCTTATTTTGAAACACAAAGTAATTATTTGGAAAACAATATATGCCAATTTGTGCATTTTCCTAAGTTCCATCAGAGACCTCCCACTGAATGCAGACAGACACTTTTCCTTGCCACTAATGAATGACCAACATGAGGCCACTTGAAGGTGGTTAATTTAACAAAAGCCTGACCATTTCTAACATCTTCTTGGAAAGGTGCCACTGATTTCAGCAATATGAAACCCTTGGTACCTTGAGGTCTAGCTGTGTGCTATTTGGTTATAACCATTTCTTGATAGCTTTTAACATTTTGAATGGAAGAGCAGCAATCTTAGTCTTTCCATTCCCCTCACAGGGACCTGCACGCATCCTGAGACTAAAATTTGGCCCTGCAGTTATTTAATCAAGAGCAGGATGTGAAAAGTCCTAGACAGTCACCTAGGGATCCTCCTTCTGAAAGGCAAAGTGAGCCACAGCAGACTGTCAGTTTAGACACCATCCACCCCATTCTGTTTCATTTTAAGATTGGGAGTCTGCAATTCCAGTGGTGGGTATATTGTGAGATGACAGGAAAAGAACCAAACTGTAAGCACTGGAAAAGTATAACTGATTGGATACATGGAAAGGAAAATGAACTGACAGCACTCCAAATCTGTGTGACTTATGCAAACATAAATGTCTAAGCACATACAGTATGATATACTGGGTCAAACAATGTGTTTAGTACATTACTAAACAGCTTCCAAAAAACACTTTAGTTTAGAAAGGAGCATTCTTACAATTATCTAACAATTCATTTTCAACTTTCTGATATTTTCTGGTTGACATTTTGTAAATTTTAGACAAATATGGTTTTAATCCCTGAAATTCAGCTGTGTTTTCTAGGCTCAATGCAGACAGAACTAAAAAGTAAGACAGCATAAAGTCTGTATCTTATATATTCATATAATACATAGCTCTCTGTATCTCATACACTGTTTACAAAGTATAGGTTCTGACTCTAGTGGCTTGAATTTCACTTAAATCTGGTAAGACTCAGCACACTAAAAGGAAGCATCAGTCAAGCAGAACCAATGCTAGCTTACCGTGAAAGAAATCTGTCTACAGAGGAGAAGGGAAAGATAGCAGATAAAGTTCTACAGAGGTGAACATCAACTGAAAAAGAGAGGCTATTGATTAGTCTGCCTCTGCCTGCTCAGAAATTAAAGCCAAAGTCAGAAAATAATTGGGGGGACATATCTTTTCTAACTTTCTATCCCAGATTAGGCACAGAGGATGTTTGCTTGCAGAACTGATCTTCAGAAAAACTGGGTAAACTCAGGTCGGGTAGAGCTAGCCTGAACAACTCAAAAAAGCCTTCCTGTCATTACTTTATCTGAACTGTATTCTCAGAAGAAAATTCCTACATTGCTCTTGTGCTCTAGGCAAGAAAAGTGCAACCCTCATTTGCCTAATGCCATTCCTCCCAGTGAGAGAGTTACACAACTAAATTATGTAAATCATATGGAGATGGTCATGTTTTCCAGATTCTAACCTGTAAACTTCAGAAAAAAGTTAAAAAGTGAAATAAAAATCAAAGGAAAGACTCTTCAGGTCATTTAGAAGATAATGTATTTGATAACATGTTATGGTAGAGTGTATAACCTCAAACCCCCTCTGCCTACCCGCAATGTTGGGCAGCATGTCATGGCAAGCATGGTGTTTTCTGAATGAACTTCTAGAGAAATGTTCTGTATGCATGGCAACCAGTGATAGTTTAGCACCCTTGTTTTTAACAGTACCTTTCACAAACTTAATGGAATCTTACACAACAGAAGAGACCCTTTAAAATGAGGTATCTAAGACTGAAAAAAAAAATCTGATTTTTGAGAAGTTATCTCCAATATAGATGATTTCTGCATCATCTATGGAAAGCTGAAAGGAATTCATAATAAGGTTTCCATGTGGGGACCCAGAAACAGAGTCTAAATACAGTCCCATTGTGACACCCTTCCCAGTCCACATTCTAAAAATGACAACAGATTCATTTTTTTCATGACTTGATACATCATGCATGAATTAATTTGAAAATTAAGTAACCCATAACTACCTTAAAAAGCAAACAACAACAGATTATTTAATTTTACACTGAAGTCCTGAAAAAAGTCTCTTGAAAGATCTGGGGAGAATGAAATGAGTCATGACAGGCTCCTTCATTGCATTTTATTTATATTAATATCTAAAACAGAACAGGTTGGAGAATTTCTGTCTGGAGAACGTCACAGAGACTTGTATCCTAATGAAGAAAAGGGAGATAAGGAAAGCAAACTGGCTACCATTAAGTTTTTATTCCTTCCATAGGGACTGTTTCCTCTGTTAGAAACTTTAGAGCTCTACACAGAAAGATTCTGACTCCCATCAGTTGTAAACACATAGCAGGAGAAGGAATAGGAGGAAACTAGGTGTAACAGGAACTCTGTGAACTCTTCGGGCAATACCAGAGAAAGTCCTGGTTTTGCGGTTAGTATATTATCTACTTTAAAAAGACCCTATCCAGCAAAGTACAAAAGAGGAGTGGATGCAGGCCACCACCTCTTAGAGCTCTCACTCTGCATCTCATGGAAGATTCCCTAAGGAGTCGAGCTCAATTGATGCTGATTTATGTATAGTCTTCATGGACATTGGGACGTTCAAGCTGTGAACAAAATATATTTACATTAAAAGCCACTCAGCTACACAATAAAGTTACTGAGCTGCTTCCTACTTGAGCCATATGTGATTATGATTCAAAGCACTGACTTGTTTTTTTTTTGCCATATATGTCTCAAAGGAATTTCCAGTTTACCTCTGCTCAGCTCCAACACAATTACCACGAGATCTTATCTGTAAAAATGCAGAGCAGCTCTCACCTGTTCATTAGGGTTTTCCATTAACTATGAAGTTGGAACAAAGGAACAAAGGCACAGGAGGCAACACCAATTGCATTAAGCCACAGGTGAACATTTTCAAATTGTAGTGCAATTACTGAATTAAACTATGGTATTCTTTGCTTAATTAAAAAAGGAGACCTTATTCCTAAAAGCAATCATAGAGATCTCTGTGTTTACACATTCTTTGAGCTTCTTGGTACAGAATAACAAAGCTAAATTATTATGAGAAAATTATAGGCAAAAATGGAAGAAGGAACTACTGAACTTTTCATGAAAATATAAAGAACATCACAGCATTAAATTGAGGAATAAATGTTAGTAACAGCTACTAAATTCAAGCTTTGATCAGAGCAATATGAGATTCATCTTATGGGGAAAAAAAAAAGACTACTCTTTAGTGTTTGGTTCAACCACTGAAAGAAGAGATCAGGACTCAAGTCTTCCTATCCTAATACTTGTTCTTTACACAGGAACCATCTCTATGTGAGGTATAATGATCCAGAGAAATACCAGCAAGACTGGGACTTAAACAGTTAAATGGAATTTCAATTGGACTACAGTCATGGAACACAAAGAGAAAAAAACCAAACCTCTTTAAATAAATTGGGAATGCTGGTGGTGGTGTCTTGAGAATTCTATGGAGGAAAATATGGAGTGGGAACATGCCACAAATCTACATTCAATATTACAGGAATGAAAACAACACTACTGTCATTCAAAAAAAATAGAATAGCATAATTGTTCTATTTTACACTTAGTTGGGTTAAGACTTTTGGCATAGATTTAATTAAGATTCTACTATATTATCGTACTTCATTTTTATTGTTGTGTAAAAACAACAGAGTCATGAAAAATGGCTCTTTCAACAAAAGCAGGAACAACATTAAAACACATAATTTAGCTTACTTATATACAACTTATATGATAATTATTTCACAAATTATTTTATTAGATTATGCACTTCAGATTTGTCTAAGTTGAATTTAGAATGAGGAGCAGTCCAAATCATCTGACTACAAAGATTTTATTAATAAATTCAAAATTTATTATTAATCTGGAGAGGTTCTTTTGCAAACACTGAATGTTTCTAAATGCTCTAGAAACTATTAAACTAAAGAATAGCTCAACTTAAGACTATTTAAAATTAAAGAGGGTTATTTTTTAAAAAAATTACTGCAGTTCATGTCTGAAGATGTTTTTTTCAGGCCTCCCCTCTTCTCCAAATGTCTTCCTTTTAGAAATTTGAATCTAGTGGTGCTGTCCTGAGAACAGTACTGAAGCCAGGGGACCCTGTGCTGGGAAGCCTTCACATGGGAAATAATAAGGTTTATTCATTGTTATTCCTTCCAAGAAGATAAGGATTAACTAAAACCAAAACTTCCTCAGCAATAAAGTCAAGACAAAACTAATATCAGTACTGAAGGCCATTTCAGGGAGTAAAACGGAGATGCCGATAAAGATTTCACAGCTCTCTCCCTGCAAAAAACTTCAAACAAATAACTATAGTGTAACCAGTCAGCATTCAAGTTAATGTAATTTAATCTGATTATGAGTTCAAACTGTCCCCAGCCCCAGACATGCAGTCCTCATGTAATTTCTACATAAGGCTGTTAACTGATATCCAATTTTCCAATAAATTGCTTAAGAGAATGATAATCAGTTAAAACACACCTGTACAGCATATGGCAGCCAAGCAATTTCTTTGACTTACTGCATTATTTTAATTAGGATTTTTTCCTACTTGATTATCAGTTCCAATTATAAAACAAGATTAATAATCCTGCTTCTGTGCTCTCCTCTGCAGTACAGACACAGGTGCCACACTTCACTGCACTGCCTGGCATCCCTTCTGTTATTGTATTGGGTCCAAATCCTTTTATCTGAACTGCTCCTCTAATCTATCTGTCTCTTTTGGCTCCTTGATCCATTCCCATTGCTTCAGGCTGTGGCTGAATATTTTTCCTCTAGCAGTGACAGCAAAAATTATCACATGTTCAGACCCGAGAGAGAAAGAGGTATGCATTCTTTAACCCCCTCCTGCTGCCTCACAGTTGGCCTTGAGCTCAGCAAGTTGCTTGCTGAGGTCACAGCTCTGTGACCTCTTGGCAGGGAATCTATGGCAAGGAGGCTTCTCTTTTCCAGAGAGGTAGGCTAGCAGCCAGGAGTCAAGGGTGGTTTTTTATTCCAGCCTTCTACTCTAAGGGTTATGGGATATGATGACTTAAGACCTTCTCTTAATTAGAAAGCAGTCAGGAAGGGCTTCAAATCTGATAGCAGCTGTGAGCCAGCTAAGAGATAGCATGCATGGTGCTAAAAGCCTAGAGAGTAACTAGATTGCACATTCCCAAGAGAAGGAGCATGAGCAGAAACTCCGGCTTAGTAGTATCTGTCCCACCAACAAGAGCTACAATTGTGTCCAACAGGCTACATCAGGCTGTCTCCTTGCACATGATTTCTTATGCACAGGGATTACCAGCCACATGCTTCATCGTCGCACATTAAGATGACATAGATGTTCGTGAAGTGAAAACGGGAAATTGTAAAGAGAGACAGACACACGTTATCCTCACGTGTCTGGGAAACAGGAACAAGGAAACAATAGCATGATTGAGCTTTGATCACTATTTCAGAAATCTCTAAGGAAAATCCCCTTCTTTTTTTCACATGGGAAGCTCCAGAGATTATTCACCTTGTTGTACGTGTTGTCACTAAAAGCCCCTGAAATTTCACTGTTTCCTCCCACCTCAGATTTCTATACCCCTTCTGACCTCATGATGGGTAATGTTGAAGCTCTTACATCAACCATTCTGGGCTCTCTTATCTGTCAGTGACCAGTCATATAATACAGTGACTAAGACAGATGAGAAACGTGGAGATGATTATGCAAGAGAGAAAACTACAGCCTGCCAAAAGCGTAGTAACTTTGTCATTGACCCCAACCAAAAGCACATTGATCGTGGAGGCAGCCCTACTACAACTACAGCAAGCAAACATGGGGACTGTCTTCAGGTCTGGTGTAAAACCAGATTGACAGTACTACCAAACGCAATGTACAGGCAATCTCTTTGTCCATGTGAGTATCCTCAGCTGATTTATAATAGCTATTCTGTTCATTTGGAGCAACTTCCTTTTCAGAGAGTTAAAACAAAATGTCTGGGACAGCCAAATTTGCTGAGGCCACATGACTCGTGAGACCTCACGACAGCCAAAACAAAGAGGTCTGCCCTCTCCAAGTTGTAGAGAGCTGTCACATCATTGTAACTCGATAGCATCTATACATTTTGGTTAGATAAGTTCATTGCATTTCAATATGACAGCTGAGAAACACACGGTACACCATTGGGATCATGTAACTTCCCATTAATTTCCACAATTAATGACATTCTTTTCCTCTGAGTTCTCATAAAAATCAGCTACTAGAACAAAATGGAGACACATATATTCAAGCACTTGTACTTACTGTTACTGCTAGTGCTACTGCCAATGCTGTCATTCCTAAGGGAGCTGGCAGCAACAGGAGGAAACAAAAATGTTTTTGTGACAGCGACTCTGGAATCTAAATAGAAAATGAGTGTGTCAGCATTATGAAACTTAAAATACAGTTCCCTCTATAAAAGATGATGGGCTATAGGGCTACTCTGATGTGGCTATAGGGCTGTTTTTCAAAATTGGATGTAGAGCTGTTTATAAAGTGGATTAAGCAAAAAAAGGCAGTTTCATTTAGAAGCAGTAGTGTCTACACGCTGAGGTGCTGCTGAATAGCTAATCTGGAAAAGCAATTGCTGCAAACAAGTTCTTAGGTTATGGCACTGATCTACTAGTGGTGTAACTGTGCAATTGGATATGTTGCCCTAATTAAAAAGCTAACAGTTGTCACTAGAGAGTGTAAAAGAAAAGATAATAAAAAACTTCCGTTTACTGGAAGGATGAGAAAAAACTGCAGGAGCCTGAGTTGAGCTTGTTAAAATTTTTAAATGAAGTAAACATGGCCCCTTTCAGTAGAGGGGAGATGAATATGAAGGTGACTTGAGGTTGCTGCAATTTGCAGCTTGTCCTGTCTTCCTGTCCTTTCAGTAGTGCAATCTTAGGCTCCTTTGATGCCTTATAAAAACTAAATAGAGCATTAAAAGAAGATAAGAGCAGTGTAAAAAGACAATCCAGGATATATTTGGAATGAAAAGAAGCAGAGCGGTGTACTGTGAGGTTATTTGGATTATATCAAGGAATGATGTCTCTAGGAATGATGACACTAGTTTTTCTGTCACATAGAATTTGCCTTCAAACAGAAATACAACCTTCAGTGTCAGTAGTAATTCTAACTTGCAGTAAAAAAGGTGACATGGAGGTACAGTATCAGAATCTTAGTATCCCTGAAATTCAAGGAAAATCACCCATTTATATCTACTTAGATTCTGTTCCCCAAAACAAGAGCCATCTTACCATTCTCTGGTGTTTCTACTGTTGAAGGCAGAATGCAGTCATTCTTATCCAGTGTGTCTGCAAACTCCTTGTAGACCTCAATGGTACTATTAAAGTGCCTAAAAAAATCCTCAGGAATGAAGCGACCTTCTTCATAAAGGTGACCATTTTCTTTTACAAAATCCTAGCATAAAATACAGAATTCAGCTTGAAAGAAGGTCAAGAGAGATGCTCATTTCAACACCTCAACAGATGATAAAAATATCCCATGATGACACAAAATAGTTTAAATTTTTAACCTGCAGAAGACCAGATTGACTGTGTACAATCTTCACAAAACATACAAGTCTTCTGATCTGAGGATTTCAAATTAGCTTTGCAAATAGAAATTAATTATTAATGTAGCATTGTAAAATTGCTAAGGAATGAAAGACAGTCTCCCATCCTACGTTGAAAATGAAGAGATGTTTTTTTAATTCCACTCATTAAAAAAAAACACCTTGATTTCACATTACTTTGCAATGTTTCACATGATTCTTTTAATCTGAACACATGAAAACAACACAATCATTAGTATTGTCATTAAGAGAACAGGGAACAGAATACAATAGCCGAAATACACCACTGCACAGAAGCAGGCTGAGATCTCTGATAATGTACCTAAAAATAAGAGCAGGACTATAAACAAGGAAGCCCAATCACTCTGAGGTCTAACAGACAAGTGTGTTATGCCACACTAAACAATAAGATTGAGATCCATGTTAAGATGATTGAGAGTTATCTTATTTTTTTTTCTTTTTACCTGATTCTGGCTTTAATAACAGCTGTTTCTTATGCCAGGAGGTCAAATTTGGCCTGGGATTAATCTGTATTCCCAAGAAGGAGGACAGCGGTAAGAATGTGTTTTAAATATGTCCTAAGGAAAAATTCCTGGGTTTGGCTCCAAAATTATTTTATATTTAATGCTGAAAGTACTAGACTAAAGATCATTTTTCACTGAGAAAACAAATAGCTAGTTGTTTCTCTGAATTACAGAATATTTACTTCTCCATTCTACAAAATAAAATTCCTTTTCCCCAACCACATCCAAGCTAAGTGCTTTGAATCATCAGGACAAAAATAAAAAAATTTAAAAAAATTATATATACATTGAAGATTTGACAGAATTCAGTTTGAAATGGAAAGTAGGAAATGTCTAAATGCTCTCACCAATGTAATGCAAATACATGACAAGGTTACACAGTTTTTCCACTCTAAATGCACCTGAGTGTTTTAATTCATTTGATTCATTCTGAGTGTTGAAAAGGTACAATTACAACAGCTAAGAACTTAGTTGACAAAAATAAACACATATGGAAGATGAAATCCTTGCACTAAAGAACATGATAGATTTTGCCTGTTTTATTCAGTGGAACAAAAACTTCAACTACTGAACTTACTTTTAATTACTGATAGTCTCATTACAGATATATAAGGGACTAGAAAATTAATTTCTACCCCCCTCCTTCACACAAGAGAATCAGCTATCTCTTGAGTGAGACACCTGGAATTCTTCCAGCTGCTGTAGGAATCCAGAAACACATTGAATGGGTCGATATACTATGGTTTTTGCTGTGCCTTTGTACAAAAAAGTTCATTAAACCATGGCGAAGCTTTCAGAGCTTCACACACTGTGGTACATACTAAGAATGTATTAGCTTCAACCACATCATCTTTAAATTTACATTAAGATCACTAGCAAAATTTACATTAAGATCACTTCAAGCTGGGTGCACAAGGAAGATATCTGCTCGTTTCAAAGAGTCCAGAATGAATGAATTATCCTAAATATGATTGTTGCATTTTTGACTATTTAAATAACTGTATACAGGTCATTTTATACACTGTAATTCCTTGTAAGCCATTTTTGTTTGAAGCAAGAGATAACATCAAGCCAATGTTAGAACAGTGTAAACTGTTTCTAAACAAAGTAGGGTTTCAGAGGTACAGGAATAGAAATAAGAACAAATCTAAGGAAGCTTTGGACATTTTTGAACTACTACTGAGTACTGTGTAACAGAAAATAAGAATAAAAATATCCAGTATAAAAGCAGAAACTCTGTATAAGATTACCTTGTTTTTATCAAAAGCAAGGCATGCCATAAGATCATTAATTATCCTTGTGAGATTATTGATGATTGAATAGTTGCTTAAAACATCTGACATATCTGAAATATCTGAAAATTTCTGGAGAAGATTTTGTAGACTCCTTGAAAATTCAGGCACCATCAAATGCAACCAACAGTGATCAGGCTGTCAGGGTAAAAAAGGAGAAACAGATGTAGATTAAATATCAGACTTTTGTAAAAACTGGTTAAGCAGCTCAATGTGCAAAAGTAGATTAGACTGTTCTTTCCAATTTAAATTATCTCAAGAGTCTAAATTAAAATTATTCTTCTTTGGTGTGGCCAACTTTCTCTTCAGTTCTTTTGTTAAAATTTCTATTCTCACTGATACTGACGTATTTATGGTTGTCTGTTAAATGACATCCCTTCATTAAAATTCTTAATGAATGCCGAGTATCAGTCTGTTGAGAATTTGAGCCTTGGGACATGTTACTATGAACCCTAATTCATGGTTTCATTAACCTATTTATTTTACTCAAACACCTACTGCTTTAACAATTCTTTAAACCAATATCAGTTTTCATTTTATTATTGTTACCTTACATGACTCAGTTAACCCCAAAGATCCTTGATTTAAATTTCTTCTCAGGAAGGTTTCCATAAATATTTTGCATGAAATCCTTGTGTGCTTTCATGTACCTTTCAACTAGTTAGCTTAGTTAATTTCTTCTCTTCAGCTTTTTCACTAAATGACATTACTGGGAACAGTTTCTAGATTTAAACAGTTTCTAGATCTTTTTTCCCTGACAAAAGGTTTTCAATGACAAAAGCATTCTGTGCAGCCTGTTGCTGTATGTGCCACTGGAATAGAGTTCAAATTCTTTCACTGACACCTATGCAATTAGTTTGCAGAAAAAGTTTGTACAGCTGTTCACATGACTGAAACCTTGTAATTCATCTTGCTGTCTTAGAGGGAGTCATTAACTTCTTTTACTTAGATTTACATAACAGTAGGCAAATAGATAAAACAGTGGCCCAGCCCTGGAAAAACCCTAAGTCAATATGATCAGCAAAAGTACAGGTAATGCACTAGTCACACTGCAACTCTTGCCTGGAAATCCCTTCCCAATAAATGCTGAATTTTTACTGGTAAATCTTATGGGAATTTATTCCATCTGTGAAGTTATTTTTTCCATTGTTGAAAATGTCTCAGGATCATCAAAGCCTTCCAGATACAAAAATCTTGGCCCAACAAAACCTAAGTACTCTCAGTATCACTAAACCAGTTTCCAACTGCTGCCCAGTGCATGGGCATCATCCACTGAATCCACCTCCTGCAATGCATAGCAAATGTTTGGTGATGTATACACTTCTAGGTTTAATCCCATTTTACTCAATTTCTTTAATAAACCCTCACACAGATTCTTCATTAAAAAAAAAAAAATTATCCACAGATGATGTTCTGCTTTGATGTGTAAATGTTTTCGGCAAGAAAAAATACACTTCATGTTTTTGAAGAATAATCAGACTATTAGGCTTTCAGGCTTAGAGAACTAAATGTAAGTACATTGTTCAGCTCCATTTTACTTTCCAGTTCTGTGTATGACTCTCTCACACAATGATAACAAGTGGAAAATCAGTGATACCACCTTCTCTAATTATCTCAACAATTACTTTTTCTTTAAGAATGAAACAAAAAATGGAATGGATGGCATTTGGCCTGATTCAGCTTCCCTTTTTTCCTTCAAGCACAACAAGGTGAGGGGAGAGATAGAAGCAAATAAATTAGAGAAAGCTTGTTGAAACATACTCTGTTCAAGCAGCATATGTTGTGCCATGTCCCACTGCCACCACGAGAGAGACAATGCATTTTCTTTCTTCTGCTTTGGTAGGAACACCGACACAGAACTACTGTGCTTCCCTGAACTGGAAACTCTTTTCCTCTGAGGTTTTGAGGGTGAGCATTCTCCTCTGGCAGGAACTAGAAGCTTGTTGCTTCTCCTAGGGAGCATTTGGCAATTCCAGCAGGGTCTGTTTTGTTGCTCCCGCAGTTTAACCTGTGTGGGCATCTCCTCTGAACTGTTCTCACCTACAAAGCTGTATTTCATGAGAGCTCTAAGTTTTCTTTTCACTAATATCAAGCTGTGCAATCACTTGCTACCTCAATACCTACCAAAACAAGGATGAAACTGCTCAAATTGAAAAATCTGATGTTGTTTGCTAGGAGAAATGGAGATTTAACTCTGAATTTTTTGTGTAAACTTTGACCAAGATTTACATTTTAGGGCAATTGCAAACCTGACTTCTCTTTTACTTCCAGGTAGCCCTCAGTTAGCTTTTACTTTCTTCACCTATGTAAGAGTTTGAAGTTTATATCATCTTCTGAATTCAGCCTCTGCTGCTGTCATCTTTGCCTTTTAACCTTCAGGCTAGACTACACAGTTCACTCTATGGAAGACTACTTTTAAAGCCGCTCAGTTGCCTTGAGCTCATGCATAATGCAACAACCCTTCTCATTAATGGATGGGTCAGTCTGTTCCTGTTACATGCACTACACTGGCTTCCCATCTGCTTTGCATTCACCCTGCCTTTCTACCTCTAGTCATCTATATTTGAGACTTGCTACTTCGGGTACACTACCCACTTTATGCATGCACAGAAGATTGAAATCTATTGAAAAAAAATTGCAGAGCACCATTTCAATCCCTTCAGAGACAAAAAAAGGGCATTTATTTAAGGTAAAGCTGTGGGTTTCCCAGCTTGCAGGGACCTTGCAGAACCCAGAGCAAAGCCTACTTATTCAGCCAGACTTTGCTGTGGTATGCATAACACAACCTGAAATTCCCAGAGAGAAATTTGGCAAAGTGGGATGTGAATACCCCTACAAAGGCATGTGGCCAAGGGCCCAAGAGCCGCATCTCCCATTGTGATGACTGAAAATGGTGTACCAGTCAAGGGAACATGGAAATCTCAGCTCTGAACTTCTTCCTATTTATTTCTTGGCTGCTTGTCATAAATGTAAACTGGATCTAAGTTTCTGGATATGACGCATCAAGATGACATGGCATTTAAACTACAGAAAAGAATCTGCATATTGGCAGTCAAAACTGAACAACAGAGAGAGATAGGAATTAGACAGTGAGAACAAACAGGACTCATCGCTCAAGCAGGTTGCCTGGCCTTCTTCAGTGACAACCTCTCCAGGAGTACAGCGGAGGGAGCAGCCTCAATCCAGCCCAACAGCTACTGTGCTCATTCTGGAAGCTGGGGGAACAGCACTCAGGCTATGGCTGCCCTCCACAGACGTGAATCTCATCACATCAGGCACCAAAATCATTGGATTTCAAAAAGCACAGCAGCCAGGGGATGGTGGCAGCCAGTCTTACTTCCTTTTTCTCTGAATATTGGCCATTATAAGAAATGGAAATTTTTCCATTAGTTTTATTTATATAGGATCTAGTACCTGACTTCCATAGCTTTTGTTTTGCAGAGTTTTTCTCTCTAAAGAAAAAAGCTTAAACTGGGTTTTCTAAAGTACTCTAAGTTTTAGTAAAAGCCTTGAGCTTCCAACAAAACTCTTAACACTTCTACAGCTGGCATAACCCTTCATAACCTCACAACTCAGGGCCCTTCACTATCCCTCAGCCTCCTTTTCCTCCTTCCATATTCTTGTTATTCAGGACTGAATATTACTTCTGGCATCATTCTCCACTATCACTATGGAATATTGCTAGATTTGCTATAATGTTGTAGGATAGGATGCATTTTTAGATGTGTATCACACACAAACTGAACTTTCCTAATGAAAACCTTGTAAGGACACAAAACCAGCTTCTTATATTTAGCAGATGATTTTCAACTACTGATGTATGTACGATGATTCATTCTTAAGACGGGCACAATATTGTTAAGTTTAACTGACAAAATCATCCTTTTCTTACTGTTTTCCTTTCCTTAAAACAATATAACATTTAGCATAGCTTGTACTTTCACCTTGTTTCTTTTTCTCCTTTTTCTTGCAGTGCATGCAACAACCAAGTGAGTATTTACAATACATCATTCTAAAAAGGTTTTTTTGTTAAATTGAGGAAAACAAAAAATACTTACTAGATTAAGCAATAAGATAATATGATTTTAATAGAAAATGTTATAGAATTTTAAAGTATATAGATGATGCTTATTTAAAAGTATCATTATGTATTAAATATGGGATTATACAGAAAGAATAATTCAAAGCAGGTTTGAAACCCTACTGTTTTTGTTTAGTTACTGACGCTACCTTTTGCTGAACTTAGGGTTCTCCTTACTGGCTACTCACTATTTGTTGTGCTTTAATGGCATTTCCACTGGCTGAAACAAGAAGGCCATTATGTAGTAGTTGCAAAGTACAATTAGAGAGAACCTGTGCAGGAAATTATTGGTAAGAAATATTAATTTTCAACTGACACAATGAAATAATACTGTAGTTTGACTTTTTCCAGAGAAAAAGGTTAAAAAATTTAATATGAAGAAACATTTTTCTAAGATTCCTGTAATTTAGAAGGTTTTAAGGGATTGTGGGAATCTCTCTACATTTTTTTAAAATAAATACTTGGGAAGCATATGAAAAGTTAAATAACCAACATTTAACTGTAACTTACTAAGCAGTGGGACTAGGTACAAAATGTTACAGCCATCACTGCTTCCAGTGGGCTGTTTTGTTGGAATTAACTTGAAGTGGTTGTACATACCAGACTATCCATCTTTGGGACATATTTAAGGGTTATCAAATAATCATTTGGGAGATTTCCAACCTATAATAAAAAGATAATAAAAATGTTATTACTGGCTACATAAAACAACACAATTTCCACTACCGTATTTAACAAAAGCTATCAAATATTTAACAAAAATTTTCAGTAATTTGCCAGGTGCAGGTAAAGTTGAAGGTTTGCCTCCAGTAAAGGTGCAGGTAAAAAAGTTACTTTCATACTCAGTTTCCTGTGGATCCGCTATTTACCCTTATTTGTTCACAAGTGAACCACCTCTCCACTGTAATACGCCCAGATCTGATCTGATCATGTTCAATGCTTCCACTTCCCAGCAGAATTAAAGTCAAAAATGTATTGAGGAGTAGTTATCTGAAGTTATTCATTACTAGAGAAACTCCACTGCATTTTCATCTTTTAATGGCATGTCTTGAAGCGTTTACCTGACAATTTCTACATAACCCCAACTGCTGTAGACAGTAGAGGACACAGAGGTATCTAACCCTTTTTCCTTTAAATAATTTCCAACTTTAACATGCATCTGAACCTAAAGAAATACTTACTTGTGCTTAGTTATGTATCAGGTGAGAAAAACACTTGTTCACAATTAACTTTGAAGTTGTTCCTCCTACTAATGATGAGCAAAATAATTATGTCATAGCAATGTCCTGGGGCAAAGGAGAACTTCCACACGTTAGCTGAGTGCAGCTTTGCAGGTGTGGGAGAGCATGGAGTGTGGTGCAGCAAAGACAAGGAGTGGAAGAAGAGTTCTCATTGAATTATACAAACCAATCTGCCACAGATGGGATCCAACACTACTGTGAGACATGGTTGAACATCTGTGGAATGTGAAGAGTTGGGAGATGAACAGTCCAACAGTCACTGGACTGCCACAGTCTTTTGAAGTATTTTTTCAAAAGGTTTATCAATAATGTGATGCTTAAGGATAGAGTAAATCTATTTTCTTTTGTATCAGTGAAAGATTCAATTGATATTTCTCATCCTTGTTTGAAATCCATTTACTCAAAAACAATATGCACAGACATAGATCCTTTGGTGCAAAAGCATTTTTACTTCAGGTTAAAGATCATTCTGTTAGGGTGCTGGTTTTGATTTTGCTGCTATAGCAACCAACACAGGGATCTTTTTTTTCCCTGTGTAGTTTTTAGGTAATATTTTTTTTTACAAAATATAATGTCTTATTTGTTAATTAAAATTTAGTTTCAAATAAATAAAAATTAAAATGGCTATTTCAAAATATTATGGTTCCAGAAATGATCAAGGACAGTACTTATGCATAGTCAAACACAAGTGAATTCCAAACATTTTTTTTTTTTAATTTATTCGGGCTAAGTCACAACCTTTCAGTTCAGTCTCATTTATCTTTCTCTTACAGCTTTAAAAAAAACAGTTGTTCTACAAATGATCCTGGTAAAATCCTTTCCAGAGACAAATTTTTTCTTTTTTTTTTATACCTACAGATTCCCAAAGCAGCAGTTCCAGAAGTGTCACTAAAATTCTCTGTATTTCTATTTACCTGGAATTTTGAGGAGTTGATTCAACATGCTATAAATACTGAAAAACATTCCAATAAATTTGTTCTCTCTTTAGAGCATCTGATTTATTCTAAATCCTCATCCAAATTTTTTGTCTATTTTTCCTTTCTCTAAAAATATGGCATCATGACATACTAATGGGTAATCCAGTTTTTTTCCTAGCTTCCTTCGCGTGCCTAGAGAGGTAGGATTAGCAGCACTTCAAGCAGCATAGATAGTGAAGATGCTACTCTATGTGCAAAGTTTCCCATACTCACTCTAGAGGGATTCCATACTTAGCAATATCAGCAAAACCACTGCTCTGTAAGAAAGGTCACTGGAAGATTAAATTTATTCCATATCAATGAACACCACAAGAATTGATATGCATTATGTATACAATCCACTTTCGTGGCATGAGAGCCTGTGAAACACTTTCCATGCATAGTTTAAAAAACTTAACTGCCCAAGAACTCAACTTCTCAATCAAAGCTGGAGAATACAGCTCAGCCTCAGATATTTTTTTCCTTGACAGACTGTGAATCAGAAAAGATATTTTTGAATTTACTACTAAAAATGAAGATCACTGGGGAGAGCATGTCAAAGACAAAATATATGCCCTGACTAAAGACAGAACTTGTTAGTTTTATTGACTAAACTCCACGTCAGGTGCTCTGCTGGTAAATGATGGATCTCAGTCAAAGCAAGGGAGTTATACTTGTGTCTCTCTTGGACTTCCTAACTCATACACAGAAAATAGGATAAAGCCCCTGATGTAAGAGTGAAGGATATGTCTATACTACATCTGCGCATTTTGTACTCTCTTGCTTTCCTGAAATGAATCTTGACATTTTGTTGAACACTAGCCATCATTAGCGAGCTGCTGAAATAATCCTGAAAGGAGTGAACGCAGTCTGCACAGTCACTCAGTGCAAGGTGCCTGACTGCTGAGGCTTCCACAAGGAGCAGATGATGAGGGGGTTCTGACCTGCTGGAGCAAGGGTGGTTGGAATACGACTGTCCCTTGAAACTCCCTGCATCCTTGAATGGCTTTCCTATTAGTTTCTCTACTCAACTCTTTTAAGTACAGTGACTAATTTTGGGGGCCATAAAACTCCTGCCTGCATGACTTACCTTGGTTTAAACAGAAGTAACAGTTTTGATGATTATAGAGAACATCAACTGATAACCTTGGAAAGGAATGCATAGAACTAAAGGAATTCTGCATTGCCGTTAAAATGTCACAATACCTTTATCTGATTTAGTGTGTGTGTGTGATTGTAGAAATCCTATTAGGCTCTGAGAAAAGGTGAAGAGCAGGGAATCTACACTTATGTCTTCAAATACATATAAAGCCAACACTAAGTGCTATATTCCCAGCTGTAACAAAATCTCAAACTGGGTAATGTAAGACTACTTTTGACATAGCAAGATCTGAATATTTAATACAGCACTGTTAACATTGCATAACCCACATATACTTTAAAAATATGCTCACAATCACATAGATGAGGAAAAGAAAAAAGGATACAAAAGTGATTTGGGTTCCGTAAACTACTCTTTCATCGCAACAGCAGACTTAAGAGAGATGACCTATCTCTGCAGTCACATGCTTTGAAATGAGGGCTACTGTTCTTGCAACTTCTCTTTATTGTGACTGTTCTGAAAATTATAAGTAGACAAGCATAGATGTCATTATTTTTTATACATATTTCAAAGATAAAGGAAGTAAATAAAATAGAAGTTACCATTTTCCATTGCCAGTGCTTTCTTTTTTTACTCTGAGGCATTACGATGGGAAAAAACATACTATGCTTTTGAATATCCTTTCTACCTCCTATTTCTCTCTACTTGTTTCCCTTTTCCTATTCTTTTCATGGAATCTGAGAATGGTTTGGGTTGGAAGGAACCTTAAAGATCATTTAGTTCCAACCCCTCTGTCATGGACAAGAACAACTTTCATCAGACCAGGTTGCTCAGAGCCCCATCCAACCTGGCTTTGACACTTCCAGAGATGGAACATCCATAACTTCTCCAGGCAACCTGTTCCTGTGCCTCACGACCCCCACAATAAAGAATTTCTTCCTTATATCTAATCTAACCTGCCCCTCTTTCATTTTAGAGCCACTCCCCCTTGTTCTATCTCTAAATGCCCTTGTCAAAAGTGCCTCTCCAGTTCTTTGCACTTCTCTGTCTTCCTTACTGCATCCCTGGGTTTTTTTTTCCTGCAGTAGCTTCCACTCTCTCTGCTTCTATCGTCTCTGCAATCTACTCCATCTCATCTGTTAATGAAGGAGTTAATAAAATCTTCATCATTTGGCTTAAGACAACATGCTAACGATTTCCGTTCACACTTCTTACAGTCACAGTGGCAGGTTATTTGCAAGATAACAACACTGGATAATTTTTTATAACCCTTTCATGCATGAGAGTTAGATCCATTTTAAAATAAATATCAAATGTTGCAGGGAGTGTAAAGTACATATTTACAGCAAAGATGTAATGTGAGAGCAAAGTATTTGAAAGAGCATGTCTCAAACAAGCAACCTGGTCAGTAAATGCTGACTGTTATTTGGGCTTCCAACATTCAAAAGTAGAAAATTGCTTTAGAGAAGTAAATCATGGAAGAAGAGGTATCTTAGATTTAGTTGATGGACAAAACCAAAATATCTAGATATATTCTATACATACTGCAGAGCTCAGTGACAATTCTATTTGTATATAGGTTTGATATTCATATTTACCAATATATATGTACCACAGATTCCTAATTCTTATGCAAAATCTAAGTCACAATTACAGTGATGCAGCTTTCTGCTGACTTACTGTGCTGAAAAGAACAATGGGGACAGGCTTTATTGACAGGTGCTGCAATTACAGTTTTATAATACGGAACATTTGTTCATCAAGTAATGTGTTTCCCTCCAGACATCTTCATTAAAAAAGAAGCAGGAGTTCAAATGATTAGTAGTGCAGAATGAATACTCTCTAAATACTTTCATTCTGTATGGGTATGAAATTGTGCTCTTTTAAAGTTCTCATTATTAAAAAACAAAAATGATTGTCCAATTGTTCTTTGCTTCTTAAAATCATTTTACTTAGGGCATATTCTTCATATGACAAAATTATATTACATAGGTGTTAATAAATTTAATCTTACAGAAAATACAAGTCACTTTTTTAAGAACAGATACCAGTCTGGTTTGGTAAACCTTATTGTTATTGAATTTGTTCCTTCTTTATGTTTCTATCTTCTGATGTAAGTCTGGCACGATGCTAGTGAAAATCCAGATTAAGACCACTGAAAACAAGTTACGTCACACATCTGTCCTCAATTTATTACTCAACACAAAGTTGATTAGGCAAATGACCCACATTTTCAGGCACTGCACAGCATGCCTTATTTATTCTCCAATAGCTTAGGCTTAGTAGACATCCCTGGTCTATATTCACAGAGCATCTTGACTGAGGCATGTACTTCTCATATCCCTATAATACAATACAGTTGAG